CCTAAGCAGAGAGTAAGAACTGAAGCATGTTTTGTTTTCCCAAGATGGAGGTAAAAAGAAGCACAGAATAGCATGAAACTGTCCCAAGAAGACAAATTTACCATCAATTTAATACCTTCTTTAAGTAATGCAATGTCTTTTTGTGGGTAAACATGTTCTCACTTAGAATTTCAAGTTAATTTTCTATGTCAGTTTTTGCAAACTGAGTATCAGTCTTCTCTGCTATCATACCTATACACATTCTCCCACGTTTACAGATCTGAGAAAAGTATCTGCTAGCAGTGTCGTACCTTAGTTAAGGAGGAAAACTGTGACAATGACTCTGTGGAACATAAATAGTAACAGTCCCTTTTACCTATTTTTGTTGAAGGAAAAAAACTCTTTATCTGTCAACCATGAGATGCAATGGGATGTGAAGGACCTCCTAACAATGAAGTTTTAAGAAACGGTTCTTAAAGATGATTTAATATTTCAGAATTGCTCGCAATTGCTCCTTTCTATAATGTACTAAACCAGCTCACTAATGGTAATTCTGTCTTCTTTCTACCTAATGTAAGAGATAAGAGAGTAGTCTGCAGGGTAAACAAAGATTTGGCTTTCCAACATGAAAAGTCATGTCAAAAATATATTTTTAATGGACCTGATTTTTTGTGGACTTCCCATCAGGTGCTTTTGAAAACAAATCTTGGAATTTAAGAGTCTAAGACACATTTGGAAAAAAAAAAAAATCTTTCTCATCTGATGAAATATACTAGATCATTGTACATCCCTTCCTTTAGTTTGACTAATAAAACAAGTCTGACCTGTCTAAAGAGAAGATTAGCTTTGATAACTAAAAGCAGTACAGTTTGTGCCGAATTTAATATGAATGCCTGATAGTATTACTGCAGTAATATAAAAACAATAATTAGGACATAATTAAATCCCACAATTTACAAGTGACAGGGCAATAGGAACAACACAACAACGTACTATTCATCAGCTTTATTACTGTATTACTGAGCACAAGCCCATACTAAGAACAGCTAATGGCTCTGCCTTAGAAACATAATGATTACAATAGTAACTCAGCAACTCCACTTTTCTGGACAATATGTCAAATTGGCATAACAAACAACCACACATACTAAACCAAAATACTACATGAACAAAGCTCCTAAAAAGCGACTCCAGAAACTCTCAGTTATTTATCAGTAGCTTAATTCAGTAGGAAGCCATTCATGAAGAACAGAAAATAGGACAACTATGCTTCTGGACTGACATGGTCGAAAATGGACCAAATTCAGAAACAGCACAGGACTGAACAAATTTTGACCGTATGATTTACAGGGACAATACATCACCTGCCAGTGAGACAATTCCATACTGAGCACAGCCTTATCACTTACACCAACTGACCTGGCCAGCACTGATTCTTCATCACCACACAACAAGGACAAAAATGTATTGATTTTGTGGTTACAAGCCCAGTCCAGTCCTGGAAATGTCACTGCACTACACTCCCCACAGTATCAAAGCCAGAGAGGCCTTCTGGCCCCTTGGAGCACACTGGTCTAGCATAATGTTCAAGCTATCAGTGCTCCCATAATACAGAACACTGGTGCCCCTGACACAGATAAAAACAATATCTAGCAGGAAAAAGTGCAGCTGCCATAGCCGTGAGTAAAAAAATGGCAAAAGCTAAAGCTTTTGAGTAAGCTGTATGGGTATTGGTCTCTTCACCCAGGCAACCAGCAGTAGAATAAGAGGGCACACTTTTAAGCTGCACCAGAGGAGGTTTAGGTTACATATTAGGGAGAAGTTCTTTACAGAGAGAGTGATTGGGCATTGGAATGGGCTGCCCAGGGAGGTTATGGAGTCACTGTCCCTGGAGGTGTTTAAGAAGAGACTGGATTTGGCACTTAGTGCCATAGTCCAATAGACAAGGTGGTGTTAGGTCAAAGGTTGGACTTGATGATCACAGAGGTCTTTTCCAACCTAGCTGATTTTGTGATTCTGTGATTCTCTGTGGTTATTTTCACAGCAAAATACATAAGTCTGGGGCATTTATTTCTTCTTAGATGAGGCATTGGGTAATGGTAAAATACAGAGGGATTACAGTTAGAATCAAGACAAATGACAGCTTGAAATGTTATCTTACACAGCCTCCCCTCACGCCCTTACAAACACAGGCTCCTACCAGGCACCTTATTTTATTTTTGTTGTATTGAATAGGTTGCCATAAGGCACTGGGTATTATATTAAAAGGGTCTAACCAGTTGAATTCAGACTCTCAAGGCTAAATCCTTTACCTAATAAATCACATTCACTCCCTATTACTGTGTGAAGCTTTCTATTGCAGTGTAAATTAACTTCTTGTATCTACTTTACTTTCTCTCAGGAGACCTCAAGCTATGACAATCTTTTAATCCTAACTAGTTCCTAGATAAGGAAGGTAGGACAGATTTTGGAAAACAAAACTGCATTGGTGATGTATAGCACTCTCTCCAGGTGATTATTTATTTAGTAAGTTATGTTTTGTTAACATGTTAGTTTACAATATGATACAGAACACAGCACTTGGAAAAGAGGATATCAGTTACTGAGATTATCACAGTAGATGGATCCTTTTTTGTGTCATGTGGGTTCTGCAGCCTGTTTCAATGGAAAAGCCTTGAGAATTTTGGAGAATGGCTCTGCAGCAAACCTATCTGTTTGAGGAGGAGAGCTGGGTTACACAAGCATCTCACAGCTCCTACTCCAGTTGTACTGCTAAGAGATGGATCATTATAATTTGTAATTATGTCTAAAAAAAGTGGCCTGGGACTTTCATTTGGGTGCTTGCATTTTGTAAGGCAGCACACACCAGAAGTCAGGATTTTCTAAAGCAAAAAGCAGAAGGACAGTTCTGCATCCTCCACACCCCTCATAAAAGAAGGAGAAAAGCTGCCTGGATAGGTTGTCAGGAAGGAATGGAAAGTCACTTCACTTGCAAACGATTTTGCAAGCAAAAATTTTTTTTACTTGCTCCTCTGCTCTCAGAACACTAAATCATGTACCCGCTGTGCTGTGCACTACAGACATCAGCCAGGAGTCAGACTTCAACAATCCTTGTGGGCCCCTTCCAACTCAGAATACTCTGATTCCACTTTTTGCAGCTCATCCTATTTTTTCCTCTGTCAGCAGACAAGATGCTTCAGCAGAAGGCTTTTCAGCCTAAGCAATTTTGTTGCAAGATGAGGTCTCTTAAAGGTAGTGTTGAATTAAGATTTTGTTCAGGGCTTAAAGTGGAACGCCATCAATATCTTACAGACTATATGTTACATTTTAGGATTCTCTCATCCCCTACAAGCCCAACGGAAGCACACTGCCCCTACAATCTGTCACATTTGGTGACACTGCAGAAACCAGTACATCACTAACACAACACACCAGAAAAATCTAGGAGGTAAGAAATTACACCTGCAAGTATAATGAGCTGTACAATCCAAGAGGGATTTTCCTTCTTTATAATTCTATAAAGGTCATTAATGTCATTAAGTTGTGTTTGGTGTTTTTATCGATACAATAAACCAAAAACAAACCAGATTATAGAAGTTACTTTATTGTAATAGTGAAAGACGAGGTTTTCAAATGACTGCTCTCTTTGCTGTAAGATATAAACACAAAAACCTTATTAAAAGAAATCACCCTGTCTCTTGTGTAAAAAATGTCTCCTCAAGTGCTGTGGGAACAGCAAATGAAAGCAAGAAATATGAGAGCAAGTTATTTGTCCAAGGTCACACACCAGGCCAATAGCAGACCAAGAAAGAAAACCACAGTTGCCTCATTTGAAGTTGCCATCTGTTCATAAATCTAGACTCCAAACACATTCTATATGCAGACTTTGGCACCTTTATTTAACTCAGCTTGAACCTGCTCAACAAAACAACATATGTCCCAATTTCCACTGAATAATGGTGTTCCTTTGGATCTAATAGATTCACACTGGAAACGAAATGTCTGGACATTTGGATGCCAGAAAAACGGATAGCACAAACCTAACGTCTTCTAATCTCTCACAAAGTTTTTTTCTCTGGCCTGCTAAGAAACTGTACTGTTCTTAGAGTCTCAATGTCATTAAACTAGAATAGGCATGTCATAATTAGCACACTCAACTTACAAGCATAGCAGAAAACAGTAGAAGTGGAAGATGCCAACTCAAGTTACTGGAAAGTATATAAACATGACTCAGATTTTTTGGGATAGATGAAAAATAATGAATTTGATTTACTTTATGAGTTCATCTTTGCCTCTTGCAAGTACTCTAGTCCTTCATCTAACTGCACAACAGTTACCTTTTCTTCACTGTCTTGTTTCTTAGCTGTGGAAACTCCACCACTTTCCAAAGGAGAAGCAATATTTCAGACTGAAGAGATTTCTATGGTATTGCCTAGGATAATTATCTGAAAACAGTGAGTTCTGAGAAGGAAAAAGAAAAATGGTATCAAGGGGCAAATTTAGTTGATGAGAGAAAATGCAAAACCTCCTGAGATTCCAAGAGCCAGACTCTTTTCAACATAGCACATCTGTCCATCAATGAGTGATTAACAGGGAAGTTACTGATCTACCTTGGGACATCTAGAGTAAAGTTCTCTGAATGTTTGAACATATTCAGGTGATTTCTGTACATCCTGTATGTAGGTTTGGCCTCTACCACAGTGAATGTTTTTCTGGAACTAAGTCCTTTGGAACAGGGAAACAAAATGCATCCTCAATCTAAATTATCACTATCCTGTTGAAGGCATAAATCAGTCATCCATTTACCATTAACACTGCTGGTGCTGACAACAACAAACCAAGGAAAAAAATAATTTAATCCAGGAAATTACTATGTTCAAGACCCTGTTATAAATAACATGCATTATATTTATAAAAATATTACCTATAAGTGTACATATAGGGCACATAAGTGTACCCTATAAGTGTACATATTACTTATAAGGATATTCCTTAAAATAAACTCCTTAGAAACAGCTTACCATTTATCTTCTTTGCTCAAGATCCAGAGGTGTATGTATCTCTTCCCAAATCTCTTTACAGAGATGCAAAGAATTAATCCTTCAGGTCAAAATCTGTCTAAAAGAAAAAAAAAGTGTATCAGTGCCAAGCACTGAGTGTTGGGAGTTTCCCTTCCTTCTTACCCCATGCTGGAGTTTGAATAGGTGCGTCACATAATTATTAATTGCTCAGTAGGCAGCAACAGTTGTCAACACCCTCCCTGTGGAGAACTTTGAATTAAGTTGCTGTATAAGAGACAGGAGAAAAAAAAACCAAAAACACACACAAACAAAACAAACCAGAAATCACACACCAAGTTAACCAATCATCTCTTTGATCCTCAATCATCTCTCTGTGGATGAAGTAAGACCTCTAAAAAGCAAAGTAGCCCACAGCAAGGAGACAAGAGAGTAGAAAAACCCACAAAGCCAGAAGAGCACTTTCCCTTTACTTCTCAAGATACACTTTAAATGTAAAAAAATGGGAAATAAGCAAGAGAAACTTTACTCTTTTAGCACCACAAAAATTTGATGCAGGTTATCTGGAAGCTACTTCTCTTCATCACCTTGTCATGAACACAAGAGTTTGTTGACAGAAAATGTGTTGTTAGTACCGGAATTGTGCAAGTATTTGTTTTCCTATGATGTAGACTGTGAAGGACCTGGATGACAAGTCAAGGATTTTTTTACCAGCTGCAGGTAATCAAAACTGACACATCTGCTAAAACAATGGTGTACTTCATAGGTTCACCTTGTAACACCTTGTGGTTTAGAACCTGCAAGAGAAATTTAAGTTGCTTCACCCTTCAATACAGAGGTGTTGCATAGCAGATAAATCCTGCTGCACGAACAGCAGCTCCGGGCTGTACTAATTATAACGAAGTTTTAACCTCATCAGTATGTTGTTACATAGTAGGTAAGACCCTAGGAGAAGATACAAGTAGGCCAGCTGACCCAAGCTAACCAGATACAAAAGCCAAGGTAAGGAGCAGGAAGGGGGACATTCGTTGTCTCCAATGGCTGCCTCCTGAGGAATCGTCATGTGTGCTGAAGTCCTGTTTTGCGGGAGTGGTTGGACATCGCTGCTGATGGGAATTAGATAAACTGCCTTATCCCAACCCATAGGTTGTTTTCTCCCCTGTCCAGCAGGGAAGGGGAGTGATACAGTGGCTGGGTGGGCACCTGGCATCCAGCCAAGGTCAACCCACCACATCAGCAAACTTGCTGAGGTTGCACCTGATCCCGCTGTGTTTGTCCCACTGACAAACATTTTGAAGTGTGATGGGCCCAATACTGACCCCTGAGGGGTCATCACTGCTATCCACTTGGCCATTGAGTTGTTGATCACAATTCTTTGAGAATAACTCATCCAGACAATTTTTTTATCCAATGAGTGGTTCATCCATCAAATCACAAGATATTCTGAGTTAGAAGGGACCCACAAAGATCTTCCAGTCCAACTCTTAACTGAATGGCCCACAGGGATTGAACCTGCAACCTTGGTGTTATTAGCATCATGCTATAACTAACTGAGCTAAGGTGATGTTAATAATGTTAATGTGGAATAATATTAATGCACATTTGTAGCCTCTAATACTCATACAGCCTAATATATAACACAGACTGATTTGTATCTAGCATCAACCCTGTAAGAAAGAGGTCTGCAGCACACATACAGTGGCCAGAAATATCAGGTTTTTTAGCTTTTCGTTGGTTTGGTTTGAAATGGTTTTGATTTTCTCTACATTCTGTAACCATTCTCACATCCAGATACCAGAAATGAGGAGTTGAGACACTTTGCCACACTAATGCTTCCCTCTGTGGATGTCGCAATGGGACAAGATCACATGGCTGCTTCAGGTTGTCTTCTACACAGCACAGGCTCTAAACTCAGAATACCAGTTTCCAGCCTCTTAGTGTCATGTCTCCTTTTAAAAGCAGGTCCTCCTCCCATACTTACAGACATGTTCTTCCAGTCATCCCTGTGTGCCAGCACCAGCTCTATCCTGATTTGCCATCAAGATTTGATGACGGCAAAAAATTGTCATCATCACCACCATCATCAAAACTTGGAGAAAGGGAAGAGGATTGGTTTTTCAGTCAGATTAGTTTCCCAAGCTGACATATTCCTAAGGCCAAAGAAGAGAGAAAAAGGACTGGTTCTTTGGCTCTTTTGGTGGGAGCTAACCATTAGATCAATTTGGTTGTGCATGGTAAAACTTCACCTTAAGTTTGATATCATCTGTGCTCTATTAGAGGTTTGCTCCCAGGAGTACTTTGACTGACAAAGATCTCTAAAAACACTTTCAGCATGAAACATTTCCTCTGTAGTTGGGGGTAAACAAATCAGTGGAGCCTTCCCTATCATTTTACTGGATTCTGTGATTTAGATCTAAGGGTTTTTCACATGCTGGAGAAGAAATATAGTGATGCATGTGCTCTTCCCAGAAAGAAGAACCAGGAAAACTAAGCAAATCTAGTATGGCATTTTAGTTTCTTACTTCACAACACAAAAATTCAATTTTAACTGGACCAGCACTAACTAGTACAAGTAAGAAAGAATTAGGAACTTTGTATCTCCTATCACTGTCATAGTGTTTTCATGACTGCTATTTCACTAGCTGCCAAGATGACCTTTTTACAGACGGATGAACAATAATGGTAGTCTAACTGTTTATTACAATTGATTGCAAGCAGATGAGAACACTAGAGTCACAAAAATCTAACACAGAGTCTGACAGTGCAGCCAGATGGAAATTCCTTTGGAAAGTCAAACAGTCCTTCATGCAGGAAAATACTTAGAAATGGAGTTTATTGAGAGGGCATACTGCTCTTCAAGTACAGGTCACAACAGAGAAGTGTATTGACCAGCTGCTTTTTAAACATGACCAGTCCTTTGTATCCCTTAATTTTCACATGCTTTTTGCTTCCCAAACGACCCAGATCCATTCCTTTCCCTGCCTTTGGTTTCTCTCATAAACATCCCATAATAGGTCCTTTGTAATCCCTAAATGCTCTTCCTCTGCATCTGCTAATGTGTTGCCTACCTCCAGGTAGCAAATTCAGGAAGTCTGTGAGGTGCTTCAGCATTGACTCATCTTAATGCATTTGTCTCCCAAGTCATGGAGGTGAAGCTCCCCCAGGACAATGCTGCAAGGGGCCTTTCCTCAGTATCCTTCATTTGCTTTTCTGCCTGACACTGTGTCCCTGTGCTCCTTCAGGTTTGTAGAGATAAGGTGATGGCTCCTGTGATAGGGTTGGGGGCAGCTGGGCAAAGTGTTACTGAGGCTCCTCCACCTGCCAGTGTTTCTCTGCTCTACCTTGTGGAGCACAGCCAAGTTTTTATCACACAAACTAATGCAGTTTCCCACCATTACTTCTTAAGCAAGAAAAGAGGGCAATACTGAGAGAAACAAAGACAATCCAGAAATTACTGTAGCCTCTTTCTCAGAATCTAGGGTTATCCGGAAGCAGAACTGATTTGCATTTATCGGGCCTCAGCCATTTTTTTTCTCCTTTTTTTTCAGCATTTCCTCACAATGCTTTCACTAGACAACCCTGACAAAGAGTCTGGGTAAAGCTGAATAACTCCCAAGTCATGTAGTAAGTAGGTGTATTAACCTTGTAAAGATGCAGTTAAAATACAGGAAAACTAAGACACTTTGAACTTAGGCATCACTTAGGTGAATTGAGATCTGGAATCTCAGTTCCATTCAGTTGACTCCTAGTCTTTTGTCCTAGACCTGTTGCTTCACCTTTAACTTCTGAACTTTTTTTCAGCTCCCATGTGAGCCACAAAATGTTTATGTCCTCATCCTCTTTGGCACAAAATGGGATCCACAGTCCAAGTGTTCTTTAGCCTTCACTGAAGCATGACAGCCTATGAGAGCACAAGAAGAGATTCTGATGCTCACACTTGTTGCAGACATACAAACTCTTTAATGGAGTGATTTTAAAAATCACTATTATTATTAAAAAAAGCCCAAACACAAGACCCAACTAACCCCAAAAAAACCCTCAAAAACCACAAAAAACCAAACCAAAACAACCAACCAAAACCAACACAACTCAACAATCATTCTATCTCACTAGAAGAAAAAAATGGTTATTTCAGCAACTCTGGGTCCCCCTTGACCAAACTCCAGAGAGGCGTTTTGGAGGCAAGAATGTAATATAAAAGAAGAGCCTGAAGCACTGAAACAAATGCACAGATGTATTGCTTCTGACTCACTTGTTCAAACCACTCTTCTCATTCTCACAGGCAACGTATTTCCATACTTGCAGGGAGCGATTAAGAAAGGTCCAATGTGGGGTGCTTGGTCTCAAGGGCAGTGGTTTGCTCTACAAGATAGAATGTATCTCCTTTCTCTGTTTTCAGGGAAGAATTGTTTTAATTTAGAACATTGTAATCTTCATATGGGTCCTCAAATATCCCCAAAGTAGGGGGGTTAAACACAGTATTCTGCAGAGACAACTCAGCTACCCTGGGAAGCAATTGTCTTCACTTGTCCCTAGATAAGGAGCACAAAGCCAACAGGTCTCTGATCCCTACCACTGACCTGAAGGTTCTTACACAATGAATATATTCATTCATCATCTACAATTGTCTCATACTGCTTAATCTTCTCTTGAAATTTTAATTTTTCTTCACAACAACCAAATAGCTCATGGACCACCTATGAAATGACAGTGGGAGGAAAGCAGAATAACACTGTTGAACAGCAAATTAGATCAATTTTTGCCATGGGGTACTAAGCTGTTTCTCATGTTACTTTAGTGGATGAAAGTAGTGGTCCTCACTCAATTTAAATCAATGTTCCATTTAATGCAAAAGAGCCATGCATACGTACACCAAATTAAAAAGACATCTGTCACAAATCCATGCACTAATTCTGCCATAGCCTTCTTGTTTCTCTATCCAGTCTTTCAAACACAAAGGTATCCTTCCTACAATTTAATTCATAAATTAACTTCTCTGAAGACCTCTGGGTACAGATAATTTTTGACAATACCATAATATTACTACAACATTAGCATCAGTAGGAGCAAAACAAGAATATCCAGGGGAGAATTACTACATTAGTAGGATCCTGGTGTGTAACTGCTGAAGTCATCCTACAGCTTGCTAAAGAAACTGCTTATCCATAGCAATCTTTCACTCTGTCAGATTATAGCAGGTCCTCCCAATTCAACAGGATTTATTTTTCTTTTAACAAAATACATTCTAATCTCATCTTGGAATTCCTTTATGGCTTCCATCTAGTTTAACCCCAGCTGGCAACTAAGTACCACACAGCCACATGCTCACTTTACCCCGTTCCCCAGTGGGAAGCAAAATCAGAAAGAAAAGTAAAACATGTGGGTTTAGATAAGAGCAGTTTAATAAGTGAAAAAATTTTAAATAATAATAATAATAAACAATAATAATGAGAGGAAAAAAACCAAGACAGACAAGTGATGCACAGTACAATTGTTCACCACCCACTGATCAGCCTGTCCTGGAGCAGTGACAGATTTCCAGCTCTTGTCCAACTCCCCTCAGTTTATATACTGGGCATGATGTTCTGTGGTGTGGAATATCCCTCAGGCCAGTTTAGGTCAGTTGTCCTGCTCCCTCCTGGCTTTTTTTGCACCTGCTTGCTGGTAGCATACAGGAAACAACAGTCCTTCCAAAACATCAGTGTGTTATCAACATTATACTCCTACTGATTCTAAACCACAACACTATACCTGCTACTAGGAAGAAAATTAACTCTACCTCAGCCAAAATCAGGACAATATCAAATATTCCAGAGCTTCAACATCTTCAAATATTTTTCAAATATTCCTGTAATTATGTAGGCTGAACAACATAACAGTAAATCACTTTGGTTCACTTTTAGATTTATCAATCCTTAAAGATACCCACAAGAAGAAAAGTAAATCCACCTTATAACTTCTGCTTATCTTAATGTTCAACCCAATTTTCTTTTTCAACCATTAGTGACTTCTCTCTCATGCTGTGATTACAGGAACCAGGTAAAAAGGTTGGTACAGCACTAGAGGAAGCCAGCAGTACCTAGAAACATGGCATATTCAGGGACCAATCAAGCACTTTCATTTCAAGCCACAGTGCTTGTACGGCACTTTCTCAGAACTGTAATTACAAAAGGCTGAGACTGCTTCAGGTACTTGCAATTAACCTGCTGGTGGCCACCGCCAGTCCTACTACAATGTGTCCCAAAGACACGGCAGCCACAGGAGTACTCTGGTCAGACGTCCGGTCCTGATGGTGGGATATTTTACTACCAACCCAAGTGAACTCAGTCTCCTTGACAGCTTGTTTTTATGGGAGTGATGTCCAGGTGCTAGAAAGATTAATTACTTGTGAGCAGAATGGTCTTGTTAAGGTTTAGGGCTTGCCATGCTTTAATGATCTCAGACCTAGGGGGAGGTTAGCAAAGCTTGGCCAGTAGGATGTACCCCTGATAGTGGATACAAAGAATGTAAAATTTATGGGCCACAAGGACATTTAATGGCAATACTCCCAAGATAAGGAAGTAGCTAACAAAGCCAACTCGGCAACGGTCCTGAGTTCAGCTCTGGGCAAAGGGCAGTTCTGGTAAGGGGAGATCACGATCACCAGTTCATGAACCACTTACTCAAGAAACCCATCAACTCAAAAGAAGAGAAAGACTCAGCACGCAGCCTAATTAGAAGTGAGAGAATCATTTAACCAACAGAAGAAAGAATACTAATTAATAAGAGAACTATGTAGTAAAATGTCTCTATTTGCTAAAATGTAAAAATAGTAAAAAGTTTTTATAGACTTTACAGAAATTTTATATACTCACTTTGTGGATTTGCCACCCAGCACCCCTTTCTGCACAGAACTGTAAGTACCTTAACTCTGTGCACAGACCAGCCTCTTGCACACTAGGTGAAATTTTGGGACAGCAGTCTTAGCGACTTAGGTGAAAAAGCCATAAAGCCTTGCCTGGATCATCTTGCTGCCCACCCCCGGCAAAGGAGGATTGGTTCAGATAGGACTCTGACCAGTTTGATCGGGGACTCCATGGAATCTTCTTCAGCTTTGGGGCAGTAAGCAACTTCAAGGTGCAACACTCCAGAGGAACTGGAGCAAAAGTGGGGTGAATTCCTGGACTGGTAAGTATCAAATTTCATTTTGTTGTAACTGATCAGTGGAATCTGTACAGGAAAACTGCAAGCTCTGTGTAAATCAAGTCAGAAGAATCCGTAACAGAGGCTGTGATTGTACACAACAGTAACAATATATGAAGGGGGGAGGGGTAGTCCTATCTTTGCCAGCACAGGGTCGGAGCGATGTGTAAGTAATGATGGGGGTCAGAACTGGGAAATAAATAAATGCCTATGCTTTGGAACTGTTCAAGCAAAACTGTGTATGAGAGAGAGTGCCTCTCCTCTCACTGCTGACAAGGAGTCAGAGTAGAGTGTAATAAAACATTAGTACTGGAGGTCTGGACCTAAGAATAAAGGAGTTGAGTAATTCTGTACTAGCAAACTAGTCCACAGTTCCACCCTGTAGCCCTTTGGGTTGTATTTTGAACAGCTGGAATAAGTTGTGGAAGATCCTAAGACTAAAGATAAAAGGAATAAACATTGTAATCAGTGGTGGACACCTTTTAAATTGGAAAATGAAGAAAACAGATTGTTAGAGTTTTATATTTTCTTAGGATCAGTATTATTTTGTTGCTGACTTGGTAAATGGGGTGAGGTTTGGTTTATGTTGATGCTTTTATGACACTGTATAGAGATCCAGGTATTCAGAAAAAAGTGTATGTTGGGAGGAGATATGTCGATGCCATGTACTAAGAAGGAGAAAAAAGAAGATTGTATGTTGCGAAGGGGATGAGTTGGAAGACGTGAATGTTACTTCCCTCCTTTTCTCCCCATATAACATTGGGGTGAGGATGGATAAAGAGAATACGGATCAAAATAAAGAGCATATGGGAAGAAAGGATTTTAGTCCTGTTGCAAGCTAGACTCGGGGACATAATCAGCCAGTAACACAGGTGTCTTTAGAACAAGCAATGGGGGCAAAGAGTCTGCCAGTTTTTGTACATGCCCTTTTTATTACTTTGGATTTGTTGAATTTGAAGCGATCTGTGGTTTGTACTGACAGAATCTTGAAGAAACATATCAGCTTTCAGAAACAGTCATGCTAACTGAGGAGATATGTAGGCTATACTGAATACCTTTTTACTGTGGGGAAAAAAGAGAATGGTATTACAAAGGTGAAAGAAACAGAACAGGCTGGGGGGTTTGGGTTGTCAAAGGCCCCTGCTCACCCTCTGCCCCCCCCCCCCTCTACTTTTGGTCTGAATCAATGTGCTTATTTGTAGGCAGGAAGGATGGTTTAGAAGATGTAAAGAATTATGATGCTGGAGAATTTTTTACAACAAATGAGGGGGGCTGGGGGAAAATATCAGGGAATCCCCATCACACCCTCTAGTTCCAATAAAATCAGGGAATGAAACAATAGGTTTTGGATTGATAGCAGAGCCATACATTCAGTAAAACCTATCCGCAAGGGTCTGCTAAGTAAAGTTATAGGACCAATTGTTGCAGCAATGGAAAAAAGAGCTTTATAGTCATTCTTACAATTCATGAAGTGGACAGTTGGAGATACTAAACTGAACTCACAAGTTTCTATATGCCAGAATGCCCCCATCCATTGTAGGATGAGATTTATTATGTAAGTTAAATGATCAAATCAGAAAGCTCTGCATCTCACAAGAAAGGGCATGGGAGGCTTGAATCTGTTTACTAATGACCCAGACCTCAGAGGAACACAAGGGTCAGAGGGAAAAAGATTTAAAAGCAATAAACCAAATAATGGTGGAAAAATACTTATTTGATTGGTTTAGATTTAAAAGATGCTTTCTTTTCCATTTCAGAGGATGAACAGAGCCAGACTCTTGCACACCAGGTGAAAAGATTGATTTTGGGACAACCGGAGGAGGCTTCAGAACAAGAATTTTCTTACTCTGAAATTTAAGGAATTTTCTTACATAAAAGTATGCTTTTTTTAATGGTTCTGAACATTAGATTAGATGGCTGATTCATCAAGGCATAAAGTAGAACAAAGCTTCTCTGAGTAGTAAACTATCAGAGATTTTGGAGAGAAAGGCTTCTGTTTTAAGAGTTGTACATTTGTTTTCTTTTTACCAACATAGTGACAGCAACATAAGCCCCTAGTGAGCCAATGCTTGTGTCAATAACAGGGTTATCTTCTAACAAAATTTAATCCACTTCCCAAACAAAACAATTTATCCTAACAAAAAAGACATTTGTTCTTAAAACAATAAAATTACATCTTGCTTTGATCGCCTATCTGTTAGCCAGGGATGTGATTTTTACTGTTTTTGCCAACTTCAGCATAAAAGTAAAATTTCTCAGCACAAAACATGACTGCCTGTTCTAATAAGAATACAAGAAGATGAAATGCCCTTACCAGATTCTAACTGGCTAATCTGCCCATGTCCTCTGATTCACCAGATTGACTGACTTATCCTATTTTCAATTAAATAGTCAAAGTAGAAATGAGTAAACCTTTGCACTTGTGTAGAACTGAAATAAACAGTAAACCCTGGCAGGACCACAGTTGATACAAAGCACAATTCCTAGAAAATGAGTAATACCCAGCATGTCACACAGAGGAAATAAATTCAGAGATGTGAGAGAGAAGCATGTAAGCAAGACAAGACAACCATGAAACTGAGAGCTTACAACTCTGCATAAAGGAAAGGAAAATAGTGCTGACTGCTTCATCAGCATGACCATCTTGGTTCAGAGAAGCCTACTGCAAATTTGCATTATATTGGCATTGTACATCAAAAGCTCGCATCCAGTTTGCGTTTTCCAAGGAATCAAAATGAACTACCACAACATGAACTTACTATGGAAAATGGGTGGTTATTTATCTCAACAATGTCTCAATGAAACAACTGACTTCAGATTTCCCACGGAGATTACCAAGATCACACAGAACAGCAGAGTGATCATCTACGAGTTCCTCCAACATATCTTCCAACTATTTAGCAAGAATCTTCCTATTGATGCTTGGAATACAAGCAAGATTGAGAAATTCCAAAATGGAATTCATCATCAAATTGAAGAGTTGGAGACATGTCTGTCAGAAGAGCAATCAAAAGTAAGAAACAACTTTCAAACATGGATCCTTAAAAGCTCTACATACAGCATAAAAAAGTACTTTCAAAGAATCACCAGTTTCCTACAAGATAAGCAATACAGCCACTGTTCCTGGGAAGCAGTCCAAATGGAACTGAGAATGTGCCATATAATTTTCGACAGTCTTATAAAAAAAAACCCTACACGAAGAGGTAAAATCTACGTTTTGTTTCTTTTTAAGAATATAATAATTTTCCCCTTATTGATAGGTTTTTAATTTCCAAATTTTAATAATTTTCAAATTGATAACTGGGGTTTGTTTTCAAAAAATATTCAGTTAAACAAGTAGAGTACTCAATTGAAGGGGCACTTGGTATCACCACTTCTGTAGAAGATAAGATCTTTAAAAACGTAAGTGAATATTGCTGTATTCTCCCTTTGCGCTATAAAAAAAGGTTTTGCAGTCTGTCCACAGAATATGACAACAGTTTTACAAACAGAAAAATTTGCAGGTGGACACCTCATAGATTTTATTTTTGCACTACTTCACTAATTCAGAAAAAAAAGTACAAGATGTAGACATGCATAAGGAAGACAGATCTTTCTGCAGCCTTGTTTGCTACAGAGGTCTTGACTTACAAAGCAGGTGAGAATTTAACACAGACCTTTTCAAACTCAAAAATAATGACAGGTAGTCCTTGCAAGTAAGAAAAGTCAATTCCCAGCTTTGATGCTTTGATCCTTATTTTGCAAGTATACTTATCTCTATATCCTATGGATATATATATATGTGTGATATATATGCACATAAATTTATATACAGGTTTACAGCATATTCAATAGCTACAGCACAGATTTTCAGGATATGTTGATTCACAATCCTATGTAAAATATTTATCCGTTCTATGTACTTTAAGTTCATAAGCAGACAAGCTTAATCTGAATAGAATTACTATATGGACACAGATGCTACCAAATTTCTTTCATTCCTCTCTCACCTTTATTTCCTTCACTCAGGATGAAGCAAAGCAGTACTTCAGGTTATCATCTTCATCAGTTTAACTATTACTGAAGACACTCTGAATATCCTGGGTCTCAGTACCACTCTCTAGACATTAGAAGACTGACTGAATGAGTTCTGACACGGATATTTTTATCATAAATGAACTGTGTCAAATTTGAATGTAAGAGAAAAAGAGTTAAAGTATTTCTGTGACTTCTCGGACTGGGGAAGAAAAAGGAACTACTCTGAGGAGAAAAAATTCAGCTGTTACCATTATCTGAGGACAGAACCTCAATATTTTGCCTGAGAAGTTTCAGGGCTGGACAGCAACTTTGGTGCCATGCCTTTCCTTCATTCAAATGAAATATATATCTTTAAATCCCTTCCCATTTAGCTATTATAATGGAATGGAATTATTATTTCTGGTTCCAGGAATGTAACAACAGGATACCTACAACTGCCTAATTTTAGGCACTAATTTAGACATTGGGCTAGAGAGATCAGGTCCAGCAACTCTCCTCTCACATGCTCCTGTTTTACAGAAACGGGGGATGAGGGAATGGGTTTCAGACTCCTGAATATAATCCTTCTTCCAATCACCAACATTATATCTCTGTTCTTAACTGGTTTTTTTAGGGAACATATGATCAGTTTGGCACATAGGTAATGTTACATTCCCAACAACCTTGTTAATCAATCTCTGGAATCTGTTTTATTAATTTAAACACTTTGCAACTATGTTGACACCACAGTGATTTTTGATGGTAGCAAAATATGTTCAACTACACATAAATCTGAATTTATTTATTTTTTTTTTTTAACTTGCTGCTTTTAGTGTTTGGTTACTGTGGGAATTAACATGGCCCAATTTTGGATATTAAGCTTAAGGAAACAGATGAACCAAAGCTCATGAACTTGAGGTCTCCCTATGTGCAATGCAGCACACAAGATGATGTCAGGTTGTATGTACGTATATCTGTGTTGGACATCCTTCTCTTTGCTCAAATCTGCACTTAAATTCCAGTCTCTGAAAGGCTAAGAGTTAGCACAGACTTCAGCAGATATGATGGTCACAACTTTCTACATCCTACTAGATTCTATCAGTTCTTCATGAGATCACAGCATGTTTCAATTAGGTAATGACAGCACTATGAGCAGAAAAAAACCCCTCCTTGGACAGCGTGGAAACAGTCACTTCCTTCCTCTGCACTTCTGGGGAGGTATTCCATCAATCTAAAGCAGATATGCCTATTAACTTGCATTTTTTATTGTCAATTGTGACTTACATTTCAAAATGCACAGAGTTTTTTTGAAGGGGGGAAATAGAGACCTCATTAGGTGATAATTGGGAGTATCCAGGTAAGCTTAACCCACTGATATCAACTAAGCATTTATAGGGAACAAGTGTTTAAGAACTGTTTATTCTAGCTCTCTGCAAAAAATCTCTTTTACAAGTTGAAATTAATTGCATCTTACAGAAGAAAAAAGAAGTAACTGTAATAAACACTATTTTCATATTTCTCACCTGGAATTCAGTGTTAACCCTCAATGAGGGTACATATGCAACTTTCTCTTCCTGTGGAAAGAGTTGCACTTTCTGAGACTGAATAAGGTCTTCTATTATTTCAAGTCAAACAACTTTAAATCTTTACTGTTTTTCCTTACATGAGTACTTAGAAATGAAGTACTGCACTTTTCTATAAAAAAAAATTAGACTGCTGTTGTTACATGTAACTATTACAATTAAACTTTTTGTAACTTTTGTAACTTTCGTAACTTTCTGTCCTTACTGTAACTGGTGACCCAAAGAAACAAAATCACGATTGTACAAGAACATGTCTTCTTTTAAGTGTTTTAGTTTGTTAGTTTCGATACTCCTGTGGATAAACACCACTTCAATGTCTACCTTAATGAGGCACTCTAATATCATGCTAGCAGATACAACAACAAAGGCAGAAATAAAAGACACTAAAATGAGAAAATAAAAATGGTATTCGAAACTCTTAGAATTTGCACAGCAATTCAAACCCACTTAACATTTCTTTAAAGAAAAAGTGACTACATTTCAACATCCTCTAAGTGGACAGCTTTTGACTTTTTTCCTGGGTAAAAAAAAAGAAAGTCCGTATTTTGCTGGAAAGTGCCATCTGATATGGTCACTGCTGGCCTTTGTACCATACTGTATTGGTCAATGAAAACTTGAAATACAGACAGTTGGGAGACTGGAAAAGATAAAATGCAATTCTTCCACGATGTAGAGCTGCAATAAGGCATTAATGACCAGAGGGTCAGAAATAAAATGGAACTTTCTTACAGCCCTCACCCACATTTCTTCAGTTTCAGCACAATGAGAGTACCACCCAGCCAGGACCTCGTGTCAAGCCTCCCAAAAACTGTTTTAAATGCTTGTTCAGCACTCTACTCAGTCTCTGATTTAGAGACTGCACTCATCTAGCTGACAGAATTTGCTTTAAAACGTTAGAGCTGTATAATTATGATAGATATATTTTGAGAGGTTTTGTTTTGGTTTTTGTTTGTTTGTTTTTCGGGTTGTTTTGGGGATTTTTCTGTTTGTTTGTTTATATCCAAATAGTAATGAGTGTCAAATTACACACACACACAAAAAAAAAAAAAAAAAAAAAAAAAAGGCCACAAAAATCCAGTTTCCGGTAGGGAAAGAAAACTCCTGGTTTTAAGACCAGAGTGGACCTCTACAACCAAGCACCTGAACATATACTGCATGCTATAGCCACAGAATTTACTAAATTCTTTCCGGATACAAAACCTGCATCTTTTGATAGCATAAGGGCATATTGGATCTTCAAAATAAAAACAGAAAATCTTTTTTCATCTGATTGTATTGGTGTGGCAATGAAATGCCCTCAACAGCAGAAGCACCACATATCTTGAAATAAAACTGAACACAGATTTCCTAGATCAAACATATCTTAGAACATCTTAGCCAGAGAGCCCCCTGCTTTTAAAAAGTTTTGTTCCCATTAAGCTATTTGATTAGCCTAAGTCCCCTTTTATGCTTATGGGGTAAATTAAACTACTACAGTGATGGTTCACAAGACACGATGACCCAGTTTTATATCCTCTCTTCCTCCCTTCCCCGCTTTTCAATCTCACATTCTTGTGCTGCTTTAACACTTGTTGCACCTTTTCCTGAGCTCCTCAAAACAACAGGAACTTATAGAAAAAAAAATTCAAACAAGAAAATCCATACTTTTGTTCTAAGGCAAAGATCTCATCATTGCTAGGCTTTGCAAACAAAGATTTGAGAAGGCAAAGATCTAAAATCAGAGAAAAATGCCCACTGCATATAAGAACCAGAACAAAAACCAAAGAGGAGCATGGCAGCAAGACTGGGTAACAACACAGAATAACAGTGAGCAAAACCTCTTCTACTCTTCTTGTCTGGTCCAAACTCTTTTAAAAGAGCCTCTGAGTTACTCTGTAGATGACTGAGTCATCTTCAGGCATACCTGCAGTTCATTTGTAAGCATTTTCCCTTTAATATATTAATATGCTAATTACCCATCACCAAAGCAGCTTAGTGGACCAGTAAGGTGGTAATTTCTCAGAAGTAAATTAAAATTCTACACTACTTAGCATTAAAATTTCAGTTATATGTTACTCATTTCAGCTTTCTCTCTTCACATTATCTGCACAGGCCTGTTTAAGTCTCTGGCTCAGAAGAGGCTCACAAGACACTTATCTGTCAAAGGTACTACTGAAGCATCTAATCAATCCTGAGATAATACCCTAAAGCAGAAGAATGAAAGTAACATTGTGTTTCATTTATAAAATATTCCATCTGAGATCTGTTTACCTAATTAGTGATAAAGACCGAATATTAAACAAAGTACCACATTTTTCCCTGTAACATTTTTAAACAATTGCTGTTCCAAAGCACTCTGTGATCCTTGTTCTCAGCGCACTTGGACCTCTCTGCTTCTCCTAGTTTCTGTTCCAGAACACAAGTGCCTTCCTCAGGGACCCAACAATGCCAAGTACTTTGCTGGCAGTTGATAAAAACCCACTTATCAGCAGAGAAATACCAGCAAAGGAGCTGAAGTGATTTGGTCCAGTCCCAAGTTCCACATCACTCACTAATGTGCTCTAAGCAGCACCAGCTACTACCCCAACACACCAGCAGACTGAATAAAATCATAATTCCAAGATACTTGATGACAAGCAACATCGCGCTATTCTTCACCCACCTCATTTTCTCTTCAGCACTTTCTGGAACTCAATATTGCTTTACTGTACCTGGTCTACCTCGAATTCGTCTTCTTTCTACCCCATACCCTTCTTTCAGATGTGCAGGCTCTCTGTTAAAAAAGAACAGTTGCCTCCTTTTTTATTTTTTGTGCCAGGAATGCTCCTTTCTGTGCCCCATGACATGCAGAAGTACAACTGTTGCAAATGTTGGTCCACTCAGAGGAGTCTGCAAATCTTGAGTAACATCCTTTGCTGTGGAAAGGGAAGAAACAGGTTCTCCTCTACTTACTGCAACACATCTCCAGTCTGAGATGTCCAGAGGATTTTCTCACAAATATCCTTTGTTATATACAGATTATATCTGCGTTTAAAGTACAACTAAATGACTTGGAGAACAGAAACACCATCCTGTTGTTGTTTACGTAAGAAATCACTGCAATATAAGCACAGGTGGCAAGGATCTTCAAATACAGTTTATCCACCTGATAATCATCCAGCTAACTTGTTCTTGTTCCAACCTGGTTTAGGACAAACACCTGTATCAATCAGAATATTTTGCTTATGAGAGCTGCCCACAAGCAGCCCCAGAAGATGTTGATATGCCCACCAAAATGGGAGCAGGAAGGCCTGTACATCTTTAAATGCCAGTTGGCAGTGGTCTTGCCAGAAGAAAGACAGATGACCTGCAGGGTCAGTTTCAAGTAGGACTCTCCAGGAATCTCTGCCAACCAGGTTCGCTCTATGTTTGCATTGCAGCTTTTCTTTTTTTAAGCCAACAGCATGCACCTCTAGGGTTTGCTACTCCTTGCACCAGCCATTACTCATTTGTCCATAACGAGCCCTGGGTCAGCCTCTGAGAAACCAGCTGTCAGCTTATCACATTGTGATGCTGCAAAGACTCGCAAAGATTTCAAATATTCAGTTCCAATAGTGAACAAGGAGTTAAACACAAACCATTTTTCCTTAAGCAACCTTGCAAACTCGCCACAACTAACAGAACAGGCAGATCAGGTGCATGGCAGGTTTCCTGACAGACTAACTTCGACCCCAAGATTAAAGGAACTGCAGGAAAATTGACATTTTTAACAGGCTGAGTCTCAGCGTTTGCCACGCCAGAATACAAGCTCCTGCGGTGCCGAGCCTCCTATCCCTCTGCTCAGCACGGGTACAACAGGAGCAGCACGCAGGGCTCGGACCTCCCCTCCCTGTGCCAGGGCACGGTGCGGCAGGGCGGCAGGAGCTCGTCCCGCTCGCTCCCGGCTCCCCCCGTGTGGCAACAGGTCCGCAGAGCCCGCCGCTCACCGGCGAGACTGAGCCGGCTCCTGAGGCTCTGCAGGTAAGCACGCAGCAAACCCACCTCTGGAAGACGGGCTGGGCAAGGGAAAAAGGGGAGCACTGAGGAGAGCGCACCTTCGTGCGGGCTGCGGGCCAGCCGGGGGCTGCGCGGAGCCCCGAGCGCTCGCAGGCACCGTCCCACCCGCTCTCACGATGCCCACCTGCTGCTCCGGCCGGGACCGCAGCGCGTCCCCTGCCCCGCCACCTCCTGAGGCCGGCGGGGCAGCGGGAGCTCCTTCCCGGAGGGAGCGGGCACCGGCCGTGCCCCCCAGCGCGGCGGGCCGGGCCGCCTCCCCGCGGGGTCGGGAGGAGCTGGGGAGCGGAGCCGGGGGGACACCTCTCCTTGGGCTGCGCGGAACGGGGAACGGGTGAGCCCGTCCCGCTGCCGGCGGGAAGTTTGCAGGCGGCGGGACCGACCCCTCCCCACTCCCCCGCGTGCGCCGCCCCGACCCGCCGCCGCCGCCGTACCTCGCACCGCTCCGGGCGCCGCCGATGCCCCTCCAGGTGCCTCGCCCGCAGGACAGCCGGGGAAGGGACGCCACAGTCCGGCACGGCTCTCCCGCGTACCACCGGCCCCGGCGCAGCGCTGCCCGGCTGTGCCCGGCCCGGCACTGTCCGCCCCCGCCCCGCCCCGGGCGCCGCCCCTGCCCCGCCCCGGGCGCCGCCCCCGCCCGCCCGGCCCGCGCTCCCGCGGCGCAGGGCGGCCCCTGGCGGCCCCCGCGGCGGCGCGGACATGGCGGCGCAGAGCACCTGCAGCTGCCGGGGCACCAAGGCGGGCCCGCCACACTGCCCTGCGGCCGAGGGGCTGGCCCCGTCCCTACGGAACTGCAGAATGCCCTGGGTTGGAAGGAACCCAGAAGGATCATTGAGTCCAACTTCTGGCCCTGCCCAGAACACCCCAAGAATCACACCATGTGCCTGAGAGCGTTGTTCAAACACTTCTTTAGCTCAGACAGGCTTGGTGCTGTGACCACTTCCCTGGGGAGCCTTTTCCAGTGCCCAGCCACCCTCTGGGTAAAGAACCTTTTCCTGACTCCCAACCTAAACCTCCCGTGACTGAGCTGCATGCTGTTTCCTCACGTACTGCCACTTAAGCGGAGTCACTTGGTCACAAGAGTGGAGATCTGTACCTGGCCCTCTGCTTCCTCTTGTAAGGATGTTGAAGACCACAGTGAGGTCTCCCTTCAGTCTCCTCCATGCTGAACAGACCAAGTGACCTCAGCCACTCCTTATACAGCTTCCCCTGCAGACAATTCACCATTCATTGCCCTCCTTTGGACCCTCTCTAATACCTTAATATTTTTTTTATGTTGTGATAGCCAAAACTGCACAAAGGAGTGAGGCCTCACCAGTGCATAGCAGAGCAGGACAATTACTTCCCACAGCTACCAGAAGAGGTCTAATTCCACACTATACTGTGCAGAGTTTGGGGAAAAACTTAACTCCAGTTTAGGCAATGAATATGGAACTTTGACCCAACATGGAGCCTCTGTAACAATAGCAGGAAAAACTCAGCCCCCATGATCCCCTTTCACAGGGCTCCTCACAGACACAGTGTTCTGTAGGAGTGTGCCCTCTGCAGCAGTATCCCTGCTCATGTGGTGGTCATCAGCATACACCATGGACCACAGTCCCTTACCTCAGGGTTGGAGGATAAAATAAGTAATAGTATCCATGTTGCTGTTTTATCAGCTAATGGGATTTTTGGTTTATCTAACCCATGGCATTTAAGGGAGTAGGTTGATATACAACCATTTGTGTAGCGATATCTACCTTCACAGTTACATTGATTTGATTATCTCTGTAGGGAAGAAAACCCAACAATAACACACATTCTGCCAGCTGACTATATATATATACAGCTTTGACAAAAAGTCCTTTCTTTTTCATGCCTACAAAGATTTACACCTTCCCATCTGACCCATCTTTTCACTGACAAACAAAAAAAGGCAGGAGGTGGGAGGGAAGAAAGGGAGTAACAGCAGAGACCCAGTTCACTGCCACCCAACTAAAAATAAAGTGGTTATATGCCAAACTCTCTGTTCTTAAGTGGAGAAATTTCAAACCCAACAGCAATGCTGACTGAGTTTGGTAAGTCCTGTTTCCACTGAGTGAACAAAATCCAAATCCTCCTGTTTTCAAGCAGCAGAAACCTACAAGGAACCATACACCCTAATGAAGATGCAAGACAGAATCATGCAAAATTGAAAGTGTTCTTCTGTGAACAAGAGCACCATGGCAAGCAGGGACAATCATCCCTGTGGATGGTCAGTCTGACCTCTGCAGGAATCATATTGCAGAAGGTACGAGGGAGAGAACTGCCCACTGTAAAGGTTTGGAGAAGATAGCAGCAAGTCAACAAGGTTTGTTGAAGACCGGCATGCCTCCTTTCCCTCTGTGAAAGGCAAAGGAAGGTGGCCTTTCTTCCCTGCTGTGGACCCAACTGTCCCATCATGGAAGGGCCCAACTTCTTTTTCCTTTCACATGGGAGATGAAGTGAAGTAGCAGTTCCCATGACGCAGAGGAAAAGCAGAACCTCAGCTGGCCTGAGTGAAGGTGAATCTGTGGTCTCTCGGGTGGGAGCTTGGTTTAGGAACTATTGTCTGCCACACCAGAGAAGAAAAGGTGAACGGGTAACTAAGAAGCTACAAGCAGGTTGTGACTGGGGTGAGAAACTGAGTTGCTTGGAAGGAAATACCCTATTGTGACTGATTAACTTTTATTTCTAAACATGTGCAAATAAAGATAATGCAAGTAACCCTTGCACCTTCGCAAACACAGCAAGAACTATCTGAAAAGCCACCCTTTTTGACAAAACTTTTTAGTTTTAGTGTGTCAGCCAATAGGTGTTTCTCACAAAGCTGTCTGAACAAATAGCAGTAGAAATAGTCTTCTTTCTGATAGCTGAATGAGCTAGTTTAAGTCACTGGTAGAACTGCTTTATTATAATCTTCACCAATCCCTGCTTCCAGGCAGTGAGTCAGTTCTTTCTTTATCCTGAGCTGCAGCCTGGTTTGACACTGACATTACTGTATCCCATATTCCTATGTAAAAAACTGAGGATGATAAAATATACATACGGAGAGTTTGTAGGATCACACCCCTAAGAAGGAGTAGGTAAAAAAAGAGAAAGTGCCATACCCTAAATTTCCTGAAGTATTTGGAAAGACTTAAACATAGTATTAGGACAATGCTAGGTCAAAACCCAGTGACACAATAAACCAATTTTCAGTCAAGTTCCCTGTTAGAACAACTGGACAACTAAAACAAGCTACAGTCTTCCCATTATCCCCAAAGGTTTAAATCCCTCTAAATACAGCATGGAATTATGTTTCCAAAATGCAGTAGATGTAGTTGACAAGATGCATTTGGTTATATAACCTGAAACAGGGAGAGACAGTGCCTTTGAGGACAGCATTTTTGTTTCTGTGATTTATAATAATTAAAGCATATCAGTAACCTGACTGCTTTGCTTAGGAAGCATTTATTTTTCAGTGTCAAACTAGAATCCAAAAAGGACAAACTACAGACACAGTTCTTTTCCTGAACTTCAATCCACAAACCCTTTATTTTCTAAGCACCACGAATTACTAGAGTACTTAAAAGCACATCAAGGACAGCTGACTCTCTGTACAGGAAGATGCCTGTCTCTCCTTCTCTGTAGTCATGGTGTACTCTGGATCACTGCCATGGCCACATTCACCAGTGCACTCGATGGAGGTTGCTCCTTTGCTGCTGGGAGAGAAGCCAGAGACCAGGACTGTGAACCCAATCAGTCAATTTACTTCAGCGGAATTTAACAAGGAATCAATTCAGTCATCTGTGGCCTATTATTCTAAGAACATGCAGCAAAGATACTAAAGTCAAGGGTCTTCCCTCTTCCCACTGCACAAAATACACAGCTCAAGGAAAAAAAAGAAAAAGAAGAGGAAAAGTTTATCTTCAGATTAATTTTTGTCACTACGAGCAAAGTGAAACGCAATTTAATTTAGCATCAAATGGATGAGGACTGCTCAATAACTTCCACTGTTGTGAACCCAGAATGGAGAACAATACAGATGGGACTGATTACATTGGTACAAACAATTTAAATGAGCAGGAACAACCTGTTGTGATGTTCCTCTGTTCGGTGCTAGATGTTCATGGATATTCCAAAAGAATCTATGAAGTGAAACTTACAAGGGTTATTTCCCTGTGGCCCTTGTCTTCTTGTTTTTTTGTTTTGTTTTGGGGTTTGTGCCTGATAAGACTAAATTCACATTTTCTCCATAGATCACAAAGTTTATATACACCTGTTTGTCTACTCTGACAGAAATTTGCATAGGAGCTGCTGGAACATATGATTTTTGAGATTTGTATCCCTTCATTGATTTTACAAAAATGGCTAGCAAAATCAAAGTTGAACTGGGGACAATGGTGAGAACACAAGCATGTATGAAACCAAGATGCTACCATAAACTCTGTTTTTTGGGGGGAAAGCAGGATAAAATTAAAGCCTGCCTCATCCTCTTTCCTTTTTCAAGTGGCCAGCTTATGGTTTTGATTTGAGTCTAAAGGAGATTGCTGTGGCTTTGTTAAACTTGGAGATAATTTTTGCTCCATTCTACATCAGACTTAACTGATTTCAGCCCTGAATCAGCTGCTCTATCCAAATGGAGGTACGAGACTGGCCTCTGCCAGTTGTGATGTCAGCACGGACTTGAGCAGGGCTGGATACACAAGCACACTGCACACAGCAATGGTCAGAAGGCATTTATGTGGTGGTTTTAATCTAGGCCTTCCTTGGTTACCAGTTTGTAACCAAGGAAGAGGCAGTGTTCCCAGTATTCCATACGATTTTTACGTAAATCGGGGTATAAATAAGAAGGGAAGAGAGGCCTTCACTCTCTTCTCTTCCAGCGGGGTACGGGAACAGTGGGTCCTTGCGTTGGTCTCGCTTATCTAAGGCTGAGGCCTGCAGCGACCGCTGGCCTGACACGTGGAGGATAACAGAGTGCTGGCCGTGTGTGCCAGTCCAGTATTTTTCTAAGGGACGTGGTGAGATTAATTTTACTAGTTACTTTGGTAATTCTCGGGTTTGACTGCATATATCCGCTCGATGTCCCTTTTTGTTCCCTTTTGTTCCCCTTTCCCCTTTCCCTATCCCTTCGGGGGGTGTTTGGATTCCTTTTTGCTATGTACATAGCATCTTAACTGTAATATACATCAAATATATATTTTTTTATATAACTACTTGGATTTTTGGTTCTTCAATTTGCATAGTTTTTTTTTTCCTTTGCTCTGGGGGAAGAAAGGAGGGGGAAGGGGGAGAGGCTGCTACTCAGTCTTTGGGCATTTGGCAGGGAGCCAAGTCCGAACCATCACAATTTATTACCTCAGCATCCCAGCAGAAGTTCTTGTGTAGTTTCCTGAGTGAGGTGATGCCTCAGGATTTTTAGGATTTTTAGCTTTTTGTTGATTTTTAAAGTAGCTGTGTAATAAATACAGATTTTTAGTATAATTGTATAGTTCCCCACACTTCAGAATGGTAGTTAACACTTACCAAACTCTATTCCCCGCCTTGTATCAAATTTTCTAAATTTGTTAGGCTTGTTTAGTCTTCTTTCAAGGTAGGACTATTGTAAATAGTTCTTGTTTAAGAACATTTGCACCCCAGGCCAGAGCAACAAGATAGTTGCAAAGTAAAGCAACTAGTCAAAGCAACCTTCAGGCCCAGAAACCTGGAGAAGCTCCAAAGACAGCACGTGCTGTGAAGAAGAGGAAGATGAAGAAGAAAGGGGTCTTGGGACCCCCAATTCAATTTCCCGGGAGGTGTGCCATGGGGGCAGATTTGGGGAGGATCTGGGGGCAGATAGTTCTCAGATCAGACCATAAACTGTGGAACCCCCGGACATGGGGACACGTCTTTGTACTCCTTGCACCAAAAGGCCTTCATTAAAGACCTGCTCTCTGTCTTATCCATACTAATATTGTCTGCAGAGTTTTTTTCCTTCCAATTTTTTAGGCATCAGAGGAAAGCAGCAAGAAGGGAAGTCCCTGGCACCATGAAGTGATGGCCCATGGTGGAGAACAGTGGAAGTGAGTTTATGAAGCTTTTTATGTGAGGTAGCACATGAGCACTAAGTTTCATGACTACATGGATAATCTTGCAAGCTATCACACAAAAAGTGCATGATACACAACACATTTTGGGGAAAAACAGGCAAAGGCAACATAAGGAAAAAAAATGTATTAAAATGTGGAATAGTGATCTTGACAAAGCACAAAGGGTTTCATTATAAGCAATATCTGGGTCATTGCTATGCTGGCACCCATTGCCTATCTCCTCACCATTCTCCTACACTTAACTGTACATCAGCTAAAAGCAAGCCAAATGAGGCCATTGCTAAACAACAGCTGGCAGAATCAGCTGAGGCATTTAACAAGCTACTGTCCACAGCAGCTTATTGCCTCCCATTTGCTGATGACTAGCACCCACAAAGCTGAGTTTGCTTTCCTGAAAAATAAAGCATCTTCGTTTAGTTCAGCCACCATCAGTGGCAGCTCAGATCAGATGTTTTTGTGCTGAAGAAGGTTATAGCAGGCTGTCATCTCAGGACCTGTAGGCACATGAATCTTCAAATGAGTGTGACTGAAAAAAGCCTTACAATGTAACTTAAACAACTCCATATTGTTTTGAAGTAAGAATTGAAGTCTTTGTGTTTACCAACAGTCAGTTGTGTGTACATTAGGGCTGGTATTAATGTGACTATAAATTACAGAGCTTTACTGAAACCACGGGACTATGCCATGCTATGGCTTCTGAGTACGTAACCAGTGGCTTATAGGTATGCTGTTATCAGAAGTACTGTGTTATAAAGTTGTTTTTTAAGTTAAATAAAATAACTTTTTTTAAAGAAGTAACTTTTTCAAAGCTATTAAAACCAATATTCCGGGTACAAAATTGTGCTTTTAACAGTTCTTCGTTGTTCACAGCATAACTACATTCTACACAGTACTGAACACTAAGTTCTGACCTAACTCCACATTACTCCCCAGTAAAGGCCTGTTGTGATAAGGTCATGTTCAACACAGTAACACTCTTTCACACCGTACTGTATCCTTGAAATTCCTATGTATGGCACAGATCTAGTATAGTTGCTTCTCAAATAATTCTGACAACATACGGAGTATTCACCAGCGTAGGCATGACCACAACAGGCAGTTAGTTGGGCTGCAGAGGCTTGGACTGCAAACAGCTGTGCTTTTGCAGAGATATTTGCACCTGTGCTGAAGGTAAGCTGATGCTGGTGTTGCCGAAGGAGTGTCTGAAGTACAGTGAGGCCAAAACTGTTTTCCTGGGATCTGG